ATTATTTACACCCTATGACACCTCACCCATCCACAACACCACCTTCCCTCAATCTCTGGCACCTGCTCCGACGACTTCTTCAACGACTGTTTCAACGATTTCAAAATTTTCAGAAAATTAAAAATTGAAAATCACACTTCCAAACCATGGATTCACCTACCACAACCTCCTAAAAAAATTATTGGAATTTTTTTTTTTTTTTTTGTGTTCAGTGTGACTACATGTAACTAATTGTGACCAAGTGTGTATTCAATGTGACTAACTGTGACCAAATTTGTGTTGAGTGTGGCTGTCTATGACCAGATCAATCTCAAGTCACAATCGGTCACAATCAACACAAAATCGGTCACAATCAAACGACTGAGAAGGTAACTAACCTTACCACCAGCACAATCCCCACAACTCTAACTACTACTAAAACTCAAACAATTGGGCAAGCTGTCGCCCCTCCTCCACTGCTAATACCCTCACCATTCCACTGATAGATCAAACCTAAACTCAAACACACAACCAGCTAAACACAAACACAACTAGGCATGGAAGATATTGGTAGCTCTATGTGACCTGAAGAAGAAGGTGGAACATTGCAGATTGCTTCAGTTTAATTTGAAGCAATTGATCAATGGGGAGAGAAAATTTTCAAACTTCATCTTAGAAGTACTTAGACTGAAACTTATTCAGATTTCTTAGAAATGAACAGGACTTTATACTTGAAAAACAGAAGAGCAGAATTTTGCTACATAATTTGCTCCAACATCTCATTCAATTTATANTTCAAACTTCATCTTAGAAGTACCTGGACTTTATACTTGAAAAACAGAAGAGCAGAATTTTGCTACATAAGATACTGCAACATCTCATTCAATTTATACAAAGTTGCAAGACAACATATGAATCATAATGCATGGTCAAGCTATATGAAATTTAAAATATGCTACCAATAATCAACTTCTGAATGCTATGCTAAAAATTGACAAGCAAAAAAGAGGGGGGAAAAACAAAACCAATTTAAGTAACAAGGAAAATCTAACTCCTAAATTACATAAATTGGTAAAGAGACTTGAATCAATGTCCCAAAGCACAGTCCTCAACTAACATTAACGATCTCAAGATCCTTACTTGAAGGCAACACCCAATTTAGCAGTCAGGCATTGGCATTTTCTTTGCCTTCTCAGGTTTTCTATTTGAAATTGCATTAGCAAAGGCCTCCACAATCCTCTGTTGCGACTCAAGTATCATCTCAATCCTCTTCAACTCCATCTGCATTCGCATCTGCTCCACCTCGTGCGCCATATCCATCTTGACTTTTTCTATTCTCACAAACCACTCTCCTAATGTCTCTATCCAGCACCTCGTCCATCCCATTATCCCCTTTCTTTTTCTTGGCAATATCACCTATCCCTTTCCCAATCTCATCTCCCTACCTGTAAACCCATCTCTCGAAAATTTACCAGAAACCCCGTAACCACTAGTATAACCTGCACTTGCCTTAACAGGAATTTTGATCTGAAAACCACTAGTCGTCCCATTACCCATAAGCCCTTGATTACTAAAATTACTTTTCTGATGACTGTAATTATTGTTGAGTGCATCGTTAATGCGTGTGATGCTATTCTCGTGATCCTCTTCTCCTTGCGGTTCGTCTTCAGAGGAAGACGGGGAGCGGTTGGGGCCCTTCTCCATGGAGTGCATGCTCGGGAAGTGGACCCAGGATGAGGAGATCCGGCGAGGGCCATCATATGGAGCGGCACGCTGGATCTCTGAACGGTAACACCTTCGAAGCTTCTCCATCTTGTGGTGGCATTGGACGGCGGCGATAATGAGGGTAGATGGAGAAGATGGGGGAGAGGGAGAGGGAGAAAGAGAAATGAATTGGGGGTGTCGGCATTTAATGCCTGATTTTTGATAATTAAATCTTAAATGCCTGGGTTTAGGTAATTTTCTCATTNATATGCTACCAATAATCAACTTCTGAATGCTATGCTAAAAATTGACAAGCAAAAAAGAGGGGGGAAAAACAAAACCAATTTAAGTAACAAGGAAAATCTAACTCCTAAATTACATACATTGGTAAAGAGACTTGAATCAATGTCCCAAAGCATAGTCCTCAACTAACATTAACGATCTCAAGATCCTTACTTGAAGGCAACACCCAATTTAGCAGTCAGACATTGGCATTTTCTTTGCCTTCTTAGGTTTCCTATTTGAAATTGCATTAGCAAAGGCCTCCACAATCCTCTGTTGCGACTCAAGTATCATCTCAATCCTCTTCAACTCCATCTGCATTCGCATCTGCTTCACCTCGTGCGTCATATCCATCTTGACTTTTTCTATTCTCACAAACCACTCTCCTAATGTCTCTATCGCAGCCAGCACCTCGTCCATCCCATTATCCCCTTTCTTTTTCTTGGCAATATCACCTATCCCTTTCCCAATCTCATCTCCCTACCTGTGAACCTATCTCTCGAAAATTTACCAGAAACCCCGTAACCACTAGTATAACCTGCACTTGCCTTACCAGGAATTTTGATCCGAAAACCACTAGTCGTCCCATTACCCATTAGCCCTTGATTACTAAAATTACCTTTCTGATGACTGTAATTATTGTTGAGTGCATCGTTAATGCGTGTGATGCTATTCTCGTGATCCTCTTCTCCTTGTGGTTCGTCATCAGAGGAAGACGGGAAGCGGTTGGGGCCCTTCTCCATGGAGTGCATGCTCTGGAAGTGGACCCAGGATGAGGAGATCCGGCGAGGGCCATCATATGGAGCGGCACGCTGGATCTCTGAACGGTAACACCTTCGGAGCTTCTCCATCTTGTGGTGGCATTGGACGGCGGCGATAATGAGGGTAGAGGGAGAAGATGGGGGGAGAGAGAAAGAGAAATGAATTGGGGGTGTCAAGATTTAATGCCTGATTTTTGATAATTAAATCTTAAATCCCTGGGTTTAGGTAATTTTCTC